TATAATAATGTACATTAATTTTGCACATTTATCATCATTATTATTATAAACAAAATTAATTTTTATAATAAAACTTCTAAAATTGTGGTAAAGTGAGTTGAATGATGAATTTAAAAGTGAGTCCTCCTAGTGGAGAATCACTGATATTTCAGTAGTTGACTTTTAGTGTACGCTATGAACTGAATTGTTCTGTGAGTGAAGGAACCACAAGTCCTTCATACAGAGTTCATTGCATAAAAATTTGCAGGAATTTTGTGGTAACTTGATCTTCATAAGTTACACAAGTATTTTTTTACTTCAATATGAGTAATATGATCAAAAAACACAATGTTAAAAATTGACAAATGGAAAAGTTAAAATGGAGAACGTCTGAAACTTTGAGAAGGAAAATGAAGGATGGAAGTTACAGAAAGAAAGAGATGGCTTGCTCACTAAATTAGAGTCAAGATCCAGTGAGAAGAATCCAGGAACAAACTGAAAATACAGAAGCACAAACTGCTTGCCAAGATGCAGTTAGAAGTCAAGAGCAATTTTGTGACAGAGAAGCACATTGTTCAGCTCGCCAAGATCCTGACCAAACAGCCTCCTAGGGCAGCATTTTGCCCAGTGCATGTGTATTAAAATTAATTAAACCATTACATTGTTAGGACACAGTAATAAAACAGACAAGTTCAGGTACCCTTATCAATGTTTCTAGAGTACTGAATAATCAAGTGTTTTTCTCTTGAATCTTATTTTTGACATATTAATTATGTTATCTCAATGTCTGATTAAATGTTAATCAATTAAGAGTTAGTGATTCTTCATTTTTTTCTTCAACACTTAAAACATAATAGATAAGGGTGAAGAAAAGTCAAGTCACAGGATAAGGAAACAAAAATATTAATTACATAAATAATATATCCTGATATCCTCATTGTAATAAAGTAGACATGGCAAAGTCTTAGTACTTTTTATACAATAAATTAACAACATTTTCTTTCCATAAGACCACAAATCACAAAGTTTTTAAATTCACATTTTTCACACAAATAAAAAAAGAAATATTAATGAAAAATTAATGACAGAAACCAAAGAACATCTTAACTCAATCAAGAAATACATCATGTCTACTTATGTTATCACGTTTAATGATTTCAACAAACATTTAGACTTCATAATTTTGTATTGGGAAAATTAAGATAATCAAATACGTAAATGTTCATCCTTCCTCAAAGTCATAACCCCTTCTAAGCTAAGTACACAGTATATAGTTGTTTATCTTTCTTAAGAGTTAATATTTTCCTACGCTGAAAATGCACTTCCAATAGATAAATACTTCTTATCATAAAATAGCCTTTCTTGACTAGCACTGTCCTCTATTGGCACAAATTTTCAATGCACATCACTGGAATTCTACCTCCCCCTTCTGCATATCCACATGCACATGATCATGCAGCAGTATTCCACCAATATGAGCACGATACCACTTCTATCATAATAAGCGCCCTGAGATTAGTCAGAAGACCTACACCATATATCATCAGAAATGAGGCAGCTGCATGGGAAATGTGAGAGGGGTAAGTATCAAACGGAAATACATTTTTTAGTGTAGGAAAATGGTAACTTCTGATACAATTATCTTACCTCCTCTCACAAAATAGCTAGAATTACACATTGGACTGGTGGAGGGCCGATAAAAAAAATAAAAAATGATCCACTTCGGGAAGCATCCAAAGAGAGAACAAGAGGTGTGGAACCAAAAGAGAAAACATCACACCTCAGTGGGAGACTGCACAACATCTGATCCAGATATACTCTTCACTCTTTTAATGACAGTGTTGCAAACATAAAAGGCAGAAAAACATGAAGGAATCCCAGAATATGTATGACTGATGAATGAGATCCTTGGGTGTTAAGTGGTTAGGACACAACAAAATGCAGTGGTAGTTAAACCTCATCTGACATCAGATGGTATCTGGAATGGTACACCAGATCTGTAGTAAGTACAGGATCACCTACCTCTTCACATCAAAATGGGAGTTGGTAGGGAAGACGAGCTTCCATACCAAAATCTGTCTCCACTGGTGTGCATTTTCAACACAAAAAAATACCAATCTTGCCAAGAACCAACATCTGGCAGAAAGTAGGAAAGTGGAAAGTCCTGGCAGTGAGACATCTCTGGTCCAAAACCTGATGGCAATGGGTATGGTACTTCCAGTCCACAGTAGAATAAGGATATCTGGCCACACACCAGTGTGAAAAGATATGCTGCATTCAGTTACAACCAACATCAGATCTGCCAGGACACAACATCCAGCAGATTGTAGGAAGAGGGGCCACAAACCTCGGGATGGTAGAAAGGGGGAATGCCACTTTAGGAAAAAAAAAATTTAGTCAGATATGTAGATAGAAACATGGCATAGTGCTACAACCAAAACCTGGCACCATCAGGAATTGCACATCAGATCAGTGGTAGGAAGTGTGATACGTCAGCGACACGTGCAGAATGCCACCACTCTAGACTTAACTGAGTGGTATGATTCATCACTCAAGAGGACAGGCCTCCATAATCCACCACTCCAGTGGCTAGGAACTGATAAGTGGTAAGGACTCCCATATTCCACTAGAAGATAGGAGAGTCCTGAAGACTGCATCACTGGAGACAGTGAAATGGGTGACCAAAATACCCTATTTTGAAAAGCAGGGCTACCATGTCAGAGTTGATCGACCAAAACCTGGGAGCATCTGGAATTGTACATCAGGCCTATTGTAGGAAGAGTCTCAATGCCATGGAGCATCAGAGATAGGCAGCAATCTGCGTCTGCTTTACTCATGTTAGTTCATGGGTGTACGGTCCTGGATGAATATATTTATGAAGCCAAAATCACTAGAGAGAACTACTACCAGTTCTACAGAACTCACCATCTCTACTGTGTGCATAACCGAAACCTGTGACATAATTGATTAGTCATAGACAGCAATAAAATGGAGACACACAACCAACTCCTAGCTGCATCTAGAATTGTACATCAGATCCATGGTGGCAGGATGGACAGTGCAGATTAAAAAAAAAAGTATACCTGGTCAAGCACCACTTGCCACAGAGTGTGATCTTCATTACACTAGCAAAAGTAAAAAAAAAAGTTTGAAAAAAAAAAAAAAGCAGCCTTTGACAATACCAAAATGCAAAAATTTGAATAAACAGTAAAGAAAAACTAAGCCACTAGTATAACGGAAAACATCAAGAAATCTGTGAGCAAAAACCAGCACGTCTGTACAGTACTACTGCCAACTGAGAAGTGATTAATGAATGCAGATGTGAAGAGGGTTAAGAAAGAAGTGGTATTGCGCTCCTATTGGGGAAGAGTTACTGCATGATCATTTGCATGTGGATATGCAGAAGCAGGAGGTGGAATTCCAGTGACATGCAGTGCTGGTTGAGAAAAGCTATTTTGTGAGGGGAGGAAAGATATATCAGAAGTAATAACCCCTTCTAAACTAAGTACAAAATTTGTATACGTTGATTTTTGACCAAAGTTATAATTCCTTTATAACTAGATACATAATCTATAGATGTTGATCTTCATATAAAGCCATTCTTGCATTATTCTCTATAGTTGTTGGTCTTTATTCTAAGCAATTATTCTTGCCTTATTCCCCTACACAGTTTTTAGATGCTAATTTTTATCCAGTGTCATTACTACCATAATTATTCTCTAGCTATAGGTCCTTATTCAAAGCAGAGGAACTGCTAAGCACTGGTACATGGCCTGTGCCCCATTTCTATTTGACAATGCCCGAACCCTCAGTTGGGATCTTGAAAAATCAGGATAGAAAACCATGATTGATATCATACTGAAACACCAAAAATTCCCATAACTATTGGCCAGAGCCCCAAATCTTTTCAGCACCTAGCAACACCTCTAATTAAAGGTAATTATTCCTGCCTCATTCCCTACATAGTCTTTAGATGCTAGTATATATTCAAAGCCATTATTCCCCACATAAACTTCAGCCTCATTTCCTAAATAGTTTTTAACTGTTGGTTTTATTCAAAGCTATTATTCTTGTTATTTCTTAGATGGTATATAGCTGCTGGTTTTTGTTCAAAGCTATTATTCTTGTTATTTCTCAGATGGTATATAGCTGCTGGTTTTTGTTCAAAGCCATTATTCCTGTCTTTTTCCCGACAGTCTTTAGCTGCTTGCCTTTGCTTAAAGCTTTTTTTCTGCCTAACCACTACATATCTATAAATTTTAGTTTGTTTTCCCATCTTTCATCTATATGAAATATTACATTATCTCTGATATTTAGCCAAATTTAATTTAACTACCACAATGCATCCTAACTGTTCAGCATATTACAAAGAATGATTATACCTGAAGTTGTGTTTCATGAGCAACACTTAATGTTTTATTGTTCAATTTTAGCAACATGCACACTGGACAAGCATAATGGAAAGAGATTCACTTCTAGAAACAGAAAGAAAGAAACTATTAATAAAATAAACAAAGCAATAACTATTCACAATCAGTCTTTAACATGCTTTTCATGTGGTGCTTGCTTTAGACACTGTTATTAAGAAAAAATAAAACATCCAGTACTTTTGCTTAGTTTGAAGGGGATAAGTTTTATACTCAGGTATAAAAATTAAGGCCAAATATTATTTCTTTACATAATAATATAATAATTGTACACTGAAAAAAAATCTTGCAGTGATAAAATAATATTTTTAACTTTGCAAAGAAATGTATTAAAGAAGAAAGATTTACTATATTTTGCCAGTTACTTTAAATTCGTAATAACCCCTTCTAAATCAGTTGGATGTACTTTGTGTTCAGCTTCTGTCTACTAATAACAGTAGAATCATGGTGTAAAACTTTTTATATAAATTACCTTTTTTTGTTATTCCACGATATTAAAATTTTACTTGTATTTTAATTTCTTTTAGTTGGTTTAACAGATAGCACAAAAGTAAGTAAAAACCACATTGCATGAGAGAATTAAGAAATAAAGAATAAGAGATAACCTGGGTATAAGTATGTTACAATGTGACAACACTATCGTCAGTATTCTTGATTTCTTCATCAACTTCTTCAGTGCATAACACTGTAGTGTGATCTCTGATTTCATCTTCATACTGGTCATCATCACTAGCTAATGATGTATTTGATGGTTGAGACCCATGGGAAAGTTGTGAAGACCGACCAAAAGACCCTCGCCTTGGAAGAGACACACAACTCTGGTTTGCTGGCCTGCTAGTGATGATTAAATTGGATGAGTTAGCCACCATCATGTCTGTCACTTGATCTAATGTTTTTCCTGCAACTTCAATGCCATTTACTTCCAATACCTCATCATTAACTGCAAGTAAACCTGTACTTTCTGCAAGACCCCCAGGGACCAATCGAGAGATAAAAATACCAGGGACTTTCTCAAGGCCCTGGGGTGTGACCCGCACACTTGTGCCATCTCTGATGTAAAACCCCAGGGGTTTGTCAGACCCATGTTTCACCAGTCTTACTCGGCGACATGTCTCTGGAACAATGTCCACATCAATGATAGAAGAAACCTGACGGAAGTCTTCTGGAAGACTGATTGAAATTTGTGGCCTGGATTTTGGAGCAGATGGGAGAAGATACTGACTTAAGAAGTTGCGCTTTCTGTTGGCATTTCTGTAACCATTAAGCTGTTCCCAACTCTCTCCTATAAACAGAAATTAATACTAATTACAACTACACACTGAATATCTTATACAGAATACTAACCAAACCTTTAATAACACACACTGAAAGCATCACACAGAACACAAATCACAACTTTAATATTATAGATACACAAACAATATGTTGTGGAGAAGATAACCACAACTTTAACACAGACGTTTTACAAATAATACTAAGTACAAGTTTAATATTACATGCACTGAATGTGTCACAAATAACCTGAAACATAACTTCACTACTATACACTGAATGTGTTACAAACAATCCTAACTTAAACATTAACATCCTAGAATGTGTCACAAACAATCCTAACTTAAACATTAACATCCTAGAATGTGTTACAAACAATCCTAACTTAAACATTAACATCCTAGAATGTGTTACAAACAATCCTAACTTAAACATTAACATCCTAGAACGTGTCACAAACAATCCTAACTTAAACATTAATATCCTAGAATGTGTCAAACAATACTAACCATAATTTTAATACCACACACACAGACTAAAAAATTCCAACTAGTACTGAACAGTTAGTAGTACTTGCTAATCAATTAACCCTATGCACGCAGATGGGGGTCAAAGTACACAAGCCACAACCTTTCACAGAATGCCATTCAACATGGTATTGTGTATTTGATGTCAGTTATCAACTATTCATTTTACCCTAAATTACTGACAATTTATGGTAGAGTAAATACCAGATATAATATACAAAAATAGTGAAAAAAACTGCAGATATGCATTTTGGAGGTTCTAGAAGTTATCCCAATTATATAATGTACAAAAGTAACCTTATTCTTCACCTGTACATATCCCTGGACATGTATGATGTGCAAATTAGCCATTTTATGCTAATATTTTGGTTTCTGACAATAATTTTTCTTGTATATCTGATTACACGTGTTAATATTGACTTCAGTGAAAATGTGCATAAACCTGACATGAGATAAACTTTTTTTTTTTTAATTTGTAAACCCCATCTGACCTGAACAATATACACTGAATTTGATAGTTTCTATCAAATTTTGATATACTTCTAATTACTGTTTAATATGTACATATATTTTCAGGTATCATTGTTTGACCATATTTAAGTATAATTATTATTGTTATATTTAAGGAATTGTAGATATCCAAGATGACTATTTACGACTTGATACAGAATCAGCAACAGTAATATATTATATAAGTATGAAGGAATAATGTGTGACACGTTATTCTGATTATATTGTATTGTTTTGTTGTTGCTGTAGGTAACTGACCATGGCATCTGTTTAAACTAGAGACAGGAGCAAAAGTGCTTGAGAGGCACAGATTTCTTTGAAGTTGATGAGCTACTCCAAGGAACTCTTCCAACAAAAAGGAACATAATCAAAGTGATGGTTTATCTTCTCCATCCAAAACGTGCAGGACAGGAACAAAGATCAGGAGAGAATGCAGCAATTATGCTAGCATCTCTTCTGCAGGAGTACCGGCTGTTCTGCAATCTGTAAACAATTTCCACTAAAAATTATACAGAAGCACATACTCAAGCTTTATGAAGATTTTGTTAAACAGTATGGGAAGCTTACCAGAAGAGGCAGTTTGATCTCTGAGCTCTACCTACAATGGAATTCTAAGCAAGAGGAGTTTAAGAAGAAGGAATTTGAAGACAAAGAAATAGCCAACCTTGCCTTGGACAAGAGAAAGAATAAGGATTTGGAAAATCTGAAAACTGTGGGTGGCCCCTATATGTCTTCCAAGCAGGTAGATGAATACCTTGAATCAGAGGCAGATACCAACACAAACCTCATGAGATTGTACTTAGAAGTGAGGTATTCAAGGAACACCTTTCTATCCCTGCCAAAAAATAGAGATTTTTATGCTGATGAAGGATCATAAGAAGTTCCCGTTGCAAACTTAAAGCTGAATCCAACCAACATAGTTTCAAATGCTGAGGTCACGACAGAGGACCTGAACAGAGCAATCAATGTCAATGGGCATCCTGAACGACACTTTGTAATTATTTTAGTAATTAAAAGTATCAGAGAACAAATTTGATAATGATTGAAGTTAGTTTTAAGTGTATTGTTTGTTACATCAAAGCAGCAAACTGTGTTTGATAACATTTTTGGGGCATTAAGCTCAACTAATCCAGATTGCATAAAAAACTTCTGTGAATGGTGTAAACAATGTGACAACATTTTATATTTAGATTTTTAAAACATGGAAGTAAAAACACAAGTATTTTAAAATTAAGCTAAATTTAGTGCTACCACAACCTTTCGGATAAATTTCATTCATGTAGAAGTCATGTTCAGTGAAATACATGTCTAAATATTCAAATAATTAGTAATTCTTTGGCATTTTTCCTTGTGTCAATTTTCAGAGGTACTGTACAGGGGGGTTATACTTTAATAAAAAATTTTTAAAATTATTTTCCATCATTTTTATCCATCTCCAAATTTTGGAGGGGGGTAGAACATGAAGCTGGTATTAACACCCACCCCTATTAATAGCTTTTCCATAACAAAGACAAGGAGAGCAAGTTTGATTATAATATACTGACTACCTAGATGGTTGGAAACCCTAACTTTGACTAGTTTATTATTTTTGAAACAACAGATATAACTGCAATTTGGATTAACGGACTGTTGGAATAGTCAAAGATAGTGATGATCAGAAACGCTTAATTTGATTAATCAATTAGTTTAGGTAACACTAATTAATGTAATCACTGGTCACAGATAATCAATTATACTGAATAAGTTGCCTAGCTCTAATATAAACCATGAATTTTAACATATTCTGAATCTCACAAAAAATTACAACTATACTGGTACATACTAAAAGCATCAAAAACTAACTAAAATTTACAATCATGTACTGAATGTGTTACAAGACATGCAAACCAATACTTCACTTCATAAGCATTTGTTACCTGTGTTGCAAAGAATTGAAATGAATACCGTGGCTAGTTTTAGCAAATTAACAAGTGGTAAAACCTTGAAAATAATCACTTAAATGATAAACTTGTAGAAAAATTTATTCTTGACAATAAAGAAAAATTCTTAAAGAATTTAAAATAAGTGTTACTTAGCCTTTGAATTTAATTACTGTCAAGTTAGATGTGTACTCTAAACAACATTCTCTATAATTAGTGGTTAACTAAGTGCTTACATTAAAGCCTCATAAGGTGTACACAGTAAAATTCTGGAATAAGAATGAACTGAATCACAACTACTATGAAAATCAAAAAGCCTTTAAAATTATTGTCTTGTCCATAAATAATTTTGTAACTGAGAATAAACAGTTAAATAGAAGCAAAAGTTTGTAATGAACAAGGATCATGGAAATTTTGTAACATGTACAACACTTGACTAAATTTCTCTTTCAGAATTAGGACATTCAAGCACAATTTGAAATCTTAGTTATATAAAGGTTGTTGTATGTTATATTAAAATGATTTTGGAGCCTCACTATGTTGTTAGTCTATATTCCCATGTCCAGACATGACCTATGAGATGACTGTGCATCTTTAAAATAGCCTTGCTGCATAATTTTGCATAGGCTATCATGTGCAAAGCACACAACTTTCTGTATGCTTTCCATAATCCATCAAGTGTATGAGGATATTGGTTTCCAAGTTTAAGCAGTCCAGAAATACATAATCACTGCATTCAGCAACTTGAACAATATGTCTTTGTAGAGAATAGCGTTAATACTCGTTTCATTTTACACCAGCCTGTGTACACAACTTCTGTTGTTTTTCTAGCAGAGATCTTTCTTGATTATTTTGCTTACAGTTGCTTCAAGAATTTGAATGGCTTCTTTCCCCAACCCTTGTATTTATGGATTTTCACCCTGCTCTTTCTTTACCATGGCTGGGGTACAACTTGTTACAGGTCTTTTTCTGGATGGTCCTTGTGCCCCAACCTGGTCCTTATTTCTTTATTTTCCAACAGCATCAAGTATAAAGGATATCCTCCTATTGGAAATTCTAAATTCCCAATCTGAGCATATCTTTATGATGTAAGTGTATGAATATTTTTCATTGGAAAAGGCTGTTAAATATACCCTTCCCAAAAGTGATCAATTTTCAGAATACCACACTATCTACGAAACACTCAGCAATGTCAGAATGTATTTTTAATACATGCCATTCCATCATGACTTTATATCAATTGTGGCTGTATAGTGATTTGCATATTCAAAGTTATTTTAAGGTAGCAGTGACTCTTAAAACTGGGCAATTTACATGCTGAGGAAACACTGTTAAACACTTCTTATAACCTTCAAGTTGAGCACAAAAAAGTATGATGTTACAATCTCTGAAAGTACACTTTCAGTCATATACGTCATACGTATAATTAACATGGCAGGGATAAAGAAATACATAAACTGTTTTAACACCATAGCTTTACTTAAGAATGATAAAAACATCTGAAAAATTGATACACATGCTCTTTATGAACATCCTCATAGCTTGAATTGAAAACTTTCCAAAGTTTCTGCAACACTTATGAAATAAGAGTAATTAATTTTAATTAATGCCTACATTAGTGGTAATTAGACTCATAACAATTGGTAAAGAATTTTGAATTTTAAAACACTCAAGCTAAGAAAGAGTAATATCAACAAGTGTGCTAAATTTCATGCTGATATTGGCTTTAATGGTGAAATTATCATACTAACTTATCACTGTCTAAGGTGTTTTAGCAGTTCACTCTGATTTGTCTACAAAGTACTCTACTATTAAACAACAAAATGATCTATGTATATATATATATATATATATATATACATACACACACAAC